AGCGGATTCCAGGTAAGGGTGACTTGCCAAATCATACTAAAAAGGTAATCAGAACAAAAAACAGTTAGAGGACAACCTGTCCTTTCAGTGGCAGTGCTAAGCAAAATTTACTGGGACCGTAAGATCTACCCACTCCATTGTAGAAAACTCGACAACCAGTCCAGTGAGCTGAGCAACGAGGAATGCGCCTCACTAGTATATAGGCACAAATATAAAGAAAAGTAAATAGGTTTTGATGAATCTTGGGAATACCTTCATTTCGTATGAAAGTATATGGAGAAGAGTATCGTAGGTTGATCTCACCAGAAAACGACAGATGAATCCCGCTGTACTGCAGGTGTTTGAATTTAATATGACGTTCAGTTTGACAGCCCGCGAGACATCCTCCTTCGTTTTGACTGGAAACAGACTGAGCTTTCATCCATAATATGATGGACATAATCAGAGCTGGAACTCATTCTTGTAAGTCTCACGTCAACACTAGGTCAAGCCTATCTGGCTCTATCTTACTCTTTATATATACTTATAACCCCAAACGGAAATGAATAGACATAGAGAGATATGGGATGGTTTGGCCAATTATCTTTCATACCGGTCCTGCTACTTTTTCTCGGGTGTGTGTCAACGTCTGTATGCAGTACTTGTTCTAAATCAGTGATCAGAAAAGGCTAACTTTACACTCTGGTTATCAAGGTTGAATGACCCGAAGCCTTAATTACCAGTGTTACAACCATTTTTCATCACTGATTTATAACAGTATTGCTTATAGACGTTAACACACACCCGAGCAGAGTAGCAGGACCATTATGAAAGATAATTAGCCAAGCCATTCCATATCTATCTATGCCTATTCATTTATGTTTGTGATTGAGTATATATAAGAAGTTAGATAAAGCCAGATAATCTTCTTGACCAAGTGTTGACATAAGACTTTTAAAAGAATGAGTTCCAGCTCTAATAATGTCCATCATGTCATGAATGTATACTTAGCCTGTTTTCACCCAGTGATGGAAGATGTCTCGTGGACTATGTCAACCTGAGCATCGTATTAAAACAGCTGCGGTAAAACAAGATTCAGTCGTCATCTTCTGGTGAGATCAATCCACGAATCTATTCAACGTGCACTTACTTATAAAATGAGGGTCACCCCGACAAATATAAGGATTAAGATAAAACTTAAACAAGAACATCATAAATCGATAGATAATTAACGAACTACCATAATGCCATAAAAATTAAATTTTTAATGTTTTATATACACCACTCGGCAATCCACACGGGAAGGAATATTTCACAAAATAAGCGAAATTATGAAATATAAGAGCGAATTCCACAAAATATGCAGACATGTGCAAATACAAAAGCTATTTTAGCCAAAAGTTCTTGTCAAGCGAGAGCTTGTTTTGAAATATATGAAACCACTGCTTTATTGCAGATAAGGGTACGTAGGGCTCTGTGATAGTTGCTTGTAAAGGAAGATTACGAGAAAAGCTTGAAACATAATCAAAGAGATTCTGGGCTGCAAACGCTGCAAAATCGCGCATAGCATCGCCACCGGATTTTTTAAGCTGGCTACTATCGAGCGGGATTTGTTGCAGAAGGGTCTCGATGGGTTCAATCGAGATACCTAATTGAGCAGTAACTCCAGTGCTGAATGACGGAGCATTATGAGACATGAAAGGGTTCTCGATTAGAGCAGCATCTGAAGCTGTTTTAAAAAACAAAGTGAGGGCACAGAAAGCGTAGGAGACGAAGACAGCAAGATACCGCTAAGCATACGGTACCTACCTGTTTTAAGATTGGCTATCCTATAGATGGCACTTGGCTTGGCATTACATATAAATCCCATGTAGTACCACATGACGGATGTACCGGAATTTATACCTAAATAAACTAAGTTTGAACTAAAACAGTGGGTGATAAAATTACCTCCACCCCCCATTTCGAATGGTAGTGGAGTTTGACCCGTCAAGAAAACAACAATGTGGTTGCTGTCATTCAATGGTTGCAGTGAGAGCATAAATTTTGTTTCCGAAACCTGTACAAAATCGCCCTGGACCTAGAAGTACCGAATTAAAATACGCGTAAACCCACGAGCTTGCCGGCAACGACAGCAGCGAACATTCTCTACAAGTAATGCGCCATGAAAAGAAAAGTAGATAATTTTCTCAGACATCTAAATATAGCTAGGCTTAGAAAATAATTTTACTTAATTATATGGGTAATAATAACAATTTTATTTATTTATGATTACGATTATCATATTCTATATTAACCCAGAAAAAGTATCAAGCACTTAAACATATTTCCTATTTTAATGGACAGTCAAGCTTTATTGCTTTATACATCACGAGTTGATTAATGTTTATTATAATTTTTTGAATTTACCTGTAGAGATACCTCGTCATAATGGAAACACTTTATACACTCCAAAATTATATTTAAAGAATAGAAAAAATTTCATTAACACTTTTTCGATCATAATCTTATAATATCACAACCCAGATACACTATGTCAGGAAATAGACAGAAAAATAAGTTTTCATTAGATAACTGCGTAGATTTTGAGAATATGATAACTCTTTTGCTAGTAATTATTTGTTTGAGGCAAAGAAGGATGAGTTAAACCAACTTTATTCTGTAAAGTGATGAATTGTTTACGAGACTAACAATATTTCCATATTCAGTAAAAAATGTCCATAGTCTCGGGTATAATAAGTTTCTCCACGAATATAGAGCGGTTAGAAAATATAGAAATAAACCAAACACAGCGGAGAAGGTTTACTTTTTTTCTATTATTCACTATAGATGCATTCTTGTTTCTCTTAATTTTAGTGAATATATTTAGGCCAGCTGAAAAGAAAGATAAATCTTTCCCCTTTTATGTGATTTAATTAGGCTTTCTCATTTAAGATAATGAAGGACTATTCGTCTTATTTTTCACAATAATATGGATAGGCTTATTGTTACCAATGAATTTCACATCGCCATACATTTTCTGAATACATTGAGAAGATGTGGTGAAAATAACACTCACACAAAATAAACATGTGGCCAGTATTTTTCATAAACCTTTTGGAGAGAGATAATACAACTAATAATATTTTTTTAAATAAAGTAATCTTTCAAAGATTACAATTACACATTCAGATGTATATATATTATCCGATAGCGAAATTTATGTGATTAATGCCGAATACATGACGTATTTTTAGAAACTATGTAATTAGATGAGAGGCTTGGGATGCTTCCTAGCCTGCCGTAAATTGAATATAGTAAATAAGATAAAGCAGAAGATTTTAACATTGAGAACATTTAATTTTGCTTAGAATATTGAAGTATTCTTTTATAACTTTAACCTCAAAATTAACAGAATTGGGGAAAGCTTAAGTAAATTTAAATATTCAATTAGTAGGCACTATATTTAAATATTAAGAACCAAAAAGCTAGGCAGGATATTTCTGTGTAATCGTTTTAAATGGGAAACAGAAGTTAACTAAGGGCAACGCTGTTAATAACAGTATTAAGTTAAATGTTGTATTATTTCTTGTACCATAAATATTAATGACAAGGGAAAGGCTAAATAAAACAATGTATAAACATTGTAGATACGAAGAGAACTTGGTTTCGATTAGTCTTCTGAGATAACATTGTTGGGGGAACTTCATTTCCGATGAATTTGCATGAAGGAGAGATTTGTTGGTCGATCTCACCAGATGAGGAAGGATGAATCTCATTGCACTGCAGCCGTTTGGCTTTTATACGATATTCATGTTGACGCAGTCCACCAGACTTCCTCTCTCGTTTTGGCTGAAAACGTGCTGAGCTTTCGTCCATCATATGATTGACATCATCATAGCTGGGTGTCATTTTTGTAAAAGTCTCACATTAACACTAAAGCAAGAACACTATCCGGCTCTATCTTACTTCTTATATAAACTCAATCAAGCCAAAAAATTAAAAATTAAAAACCTAGATAGATCGATATAGAATGGCTTGTTCAATTTTCTTTCATACTGGTCCTATTATTTTTGCTCGATTGTATGAGTATGTGTAGTTGTAGGTGTTAGCGTCTATATGCAAAACGGTTCCTAAATCAAAGTTCTGATCCTCAAGACCTAATGACCCAAGAGAAATCCTTGACCGAGACTGCGTAAGTCCGTAAATATATAAGGT